AAAAAAAAAAAAAAAAAAGATAAGGCCCCCAGACCATTTCATTTTGAAAATACTTTTAATCATTCAGATGAGTCTACATGACAGAATTCCAGTTCTTTCGATACCAGCTAAATTTTTAAAATTAACCAAAGAACTGGGATAAAGTCTTACCTCTTGTGGCCTTTGGCATTTTATTTGCTGAAGCACGGGATTAGCACTCCTGAGCTGACTTCTTATCAGAACTAAGAGGTAAGCTGCTGCATTAGCTAAGGGCAGCATGGTTAGAAACCCAGTGTAGGAAGAGAGGTGGGGTGCACAGCTTTGCAGGTTAAGTGATTCTGAGTGTAGAGTCTAGGACAACAGCGATCTCCCCCAGGCACAGAGCACTGCACGACTCCAGTGCACAGTAATGAAGAGTTTAGAACCTCAGCTTCCTCATTTTTGACTTGCTTTCAGAGAAACACAGGAACTCTTCATCTCCTATACAATCTAATCTCTACATTTAAAACTTTGCTGGAAATGTGCTGAAAAGGCCAAACCATCCTAGAAGTACAGGTAAACAAAACTGCTATGGGACTTCCACTTCTCTTCCACTGCTTTTTTTGTTGTTTCTTTTGAGATAGGGTCTTTTTCAGACAGGGTCTCACTCTGCAGTTCAGGCTGGGCTTGAGCTCACTATGTAGCCCAGGCTGGTCTTGAACTCACAACAATCCTCCTGCCTCAGCCTCCCCAGTGCTGGAATTACAGGCGTGCACACCATGCCTGGCTAGTGTAAGCTTTAAGAACCAAACGTACATTCGAATTTCTAGATGTGTCCATTACCATGATGTCTTCTTCCCTGTGCCCTGTGTGCCTGGCAGACTCGGCACGAAGCTCAGTGCACGCAGGGGAAGGAGTGGGTGTGCCCTAGGGCCACACTGCGGAGAGCTCACCTCTGTCTCTTGAAGGCGGTGTCCGATGAGGCTGAGGGACTCTCCCAGCAGCTGAAGGTGCGCGGCCACATCGATGGGCTCTGTCTCCGGAGCTCTGGCTGGCGATGCAGGTAACAGCACAGTGGTGGGCGGGGACTTCTTTTGGGGAGACAGGACTCCAGCAGAGGGAGCTGAGAAGAATGGAGGGGTGGACAGGTGAAATTTGCCTGCAGCCTTCGGGACTACAGAAATGCTGCTCTCGACCTTCCCTCCTTCTGAAGTATACTGAGAACCAGTGACCTGTGAGCTAAGGAGCTCTACATTTTTGAAGGGCTGCGAGAAGACAGGAAGCTGGGACAGAGCATGCGTTTGGCACACAGGCCCGTCACATTACCTCCTGGGTCTTTACAGGAGAAGTTCCCTGACACTTGATTTATTTCTATTTTCTAAATCTGAACATCTTTTTTGCTGCCTATAATACTCAGTAACAATATGTGGGGACTGAGGCCTGCTTCTAGGGTAAGCTGTTTTCCCAATTTCCTAGTGAGGCAGCAAACGTCAGAGCTTTGGAGGAGGGCGGCGAGCGCAGGAGGGGAGGTGTCCGCTACCTTTTGCTTTGGCAGCGCCTTCCGAGCTGGACGCCTTTCTCTTCACAGTTGTAGCTTCCGCTTTGTTCTGCTTGTGCTGCAGATACTGAGCTTTCTGCTTCCAGATCTGCGATCAGACCAGTGAGCCCATGAAAAGAGATAGAACGTAAGATGGAAGGCAGTCGTGGTGAAACAAGAGGAAGAGTGCAGCGGGCGGACAGAGGCCGGTGCTTTTAGGCCGAGGGTCCTGAGATGGCTTTGGCCTGTTGTTCCACTGACATTTAGGCCTGGGAAAATGAACACTCCTCCTTGCTAAGGGTCGATCTCAGCACTGACAGATCACCTGTGGATGCCTGGCCACCGTCTAGGTAGAGAACTGCAAGATTCCGAAGTGAACCTGTCACTGTCTTACTGGCTTCCGGTCGTAGGGCCCACTATGTGGCCATGGGCGAGGGGGGTGACCCGAAAGCACAGCCCGTGCCAACTGTGCACCGGGCGATCTTCCTCAGCCCTCATCCTCAGCCCTGTCGACTCTCAGGGTCTCAAGTACAGACTGTGATGTTTTGTCTTCCTTTAACACTTCATTCCCTGCTCAAGTTAGGCCTCCTTTTAGCTCAGTGTAAAGTGTTTAGAAAAATGAGCCAAAGTTAGAGAAGACGCCTCCCTACTGCCAGACCCTCAGCTTGGTAACTTGGCATTGGCCCTGTCAACACCGTGGCCCGCTGCTCGGCCATTTTCTTCAGTATCTTCACTGCTGTGCAGCTGGATGGTCTGCAGGAGAACCATCCACTTAAAAGGCAAAGCTATGAAACGTGTTTGCAGGAAAATGCACTCACCAGTTTGTCCTTTTCTGGCAATTGCTTCCACACCTCAGCCAGTTTTTTACTCAGTTCCCCAAAATCTGGCATAAAAGAGTGAAAATCAAACAACACAGAACAGGCTTATTTAACAAGACAGAAGATGGATCAGAGCAGAAAAAGGCTTTTTTGGGACAAAGTCTCACTATGCAGTCCAGGCTAGCCTTGAACTCACAGTGATTCTCCTGCCTCAGCCTCCCATGTGCTGGGATGACAGGCATGTACCACCAAGCTAGTGGAAAAAGGCTTTTGAAGATCAGGTTGAAAGGTTGCAAGATTCTTTAAGAAAACCAAACCACACCCCTGTCATTTTTCTTCTAATTTTTCCATAGGAAAAGGATGTTTTGGTGGTGGAAGACAGGCTCAAATCCTCACACATTCTACCCTTGGGACTTATTCCTGAGGCATCTTTCTGGTGGTCTTTCAATTTGACCTCACAATACAAGGCCTCCCAAGATAGGTCAAGGACCATATGCTACATAGAAGTTGATAAAGGATATTAAGCTTTTACTAAATATCTGAATGGTCAGAGCCAAAGAACTTGGCAGCCAAGAAGCAGCCCCTAGGTGTGTGATGCCACCCTTCCATCTACACAGCAAGCACCTCCCTAATTCCTTTCCTCCTTTCTCTTTGGTTTTTAAGACAGGGAATTGATATGTAGTTCAGGCTGGCTCCAAACTCACTGCAATCCTCCTGCCTCGGCCTCCAGAGTGCTAGAACACTAGCACTATCCCTGACAGCTCTGCAGCGAGCTCTGAAGTCAGCTGGTGCCGTACCACGCCCGGCTGTCTTGTGCTTGAGAGTGTCCTCAGGTGTACATCGCAGCAGCCCCATGGAGGGGCAGAGCAGGCAAGTGAGATACACACAGGTTAAGCGACTGTCCCAGGTCTGGGGGAGACTGTTTCCTCACCTCACCAGACTACACAGAGACAAATGTGAACAGTGCCGTGCGGGCCACTGGGTCTAACTCTACACCTAAGGGTGGTCTGGGGAAAGCCAACGCCAGAATTTTGTAAATACACACACACACACTTCTACATGTAGCATGCTTTATGATATTTAATTTTCACAGCTTCCTATTTTTTCAGTTTAACACATTCATCAGAGGGCTGGTACTACCGACGGTACATGCAAGACTGTGGCACAGAGCAGCCTGTACCGATAGGGCGGTCATGCGTGAACTGCTGGCAGTTCAAACTGGCAGGAACACACTGAGAGACATCTATGGGAAGCTCACCTCTTGTATCAGCGAGGTGAATGAAGGCAAAATCTAAAGCGATCTGCAGGTCAGAGGAGAGAGATGCGATCTGTGTTCTAACATGGAAAGCAGCTGTGCTGACCAACTCAGCTAAGTGCACTGCTCCAGACACACAGCAGAGAGGAGAGCACAGAAAGCCCGCATGCGCTTACCTATCCCTGGGTGGTCAGCCACGATGCTCACGCGGTACTCCTTACAGAACACCTGGTAGGCCGACATGTTCTTCTTTTTCGGCTAGTGCCACAGAGAACACAGAACAAGGCAAGACTTGATCAGAACCCACATTTAGTGATGCTGAACTTATGCTGACAAAACAGAAAGGGTACTGTACCTTTTCATTTAAAAAAGGTATCACACTGTTTATCAGCTGACACAAGGTAACTTCTCAACCCATGATAAGTATCTCTCAGGGGCTTTATGTTTACAGATTATTGATAGATTTCCCAGGTCACTCCGGCTACATGCTCATTATCTGGGAAGCCTTCATTCGGCCTACAGCACTCCTGTGTCAGGGATTCTCTCAGAAGGAAGTGCATCTTTGAAAGTCAGAACCACACTATTTCCTTTTAAACTTTGGGGCCAGAAATCCAAGAGTGAGATCTATGTCCTTTTTGTTTCTCTAGTATTGATTTCTACTCTTTGTTTTGTCTTTTTGAGAGAGGGTTTTGTTTTGTTCAGGCTGGCCTCAAACTCACAATGATCCTCCTGCCTCAGCCTCCCAAGTGCTGAGATTACAGGTATGTGCCACCATGCTTGGCTCTGATTTCTTTTTTTCTTTTTTTGTCTTTTTGAGACAGGGTCTCACTATGCAGTTCAGGCTGGTCTTGAACTCACTTTGTAGCCCAAGGTAGCCTCGAACTCACAACGATCCTCCTGCCTCAGCCTTCACATTGAGCTACATCCCTGGCCCTTTTACGTTTTAATTTTTGAGACAGAGTCTTAGTAAGTCTCTAAGTTGCCCAGGCTGGGCCTGAAGTTGCCGTCCTTGATTCTCAGCACCCCAGGGTGTGGGGTGACAGCCACGCCCACCACTCCTGGGTTATAATAATCTAATACACTGAGATGTATTCTGCATGGGATTTTGCAAACCCCTCACGTTTTATCTGTAAGCATCAAAAGACATCGGTCTCCCATCTCCTAAGATAGACCCTCTGGTCCTGCGGTCACTGTATGACAAAAGGCTTAACATTTTTTTTTTTTTCCCCAGTACCAGGAATCGAACTCACAACCTTGCGCTTGCCAGGCAGGTGCTGTGCTGCTGAGCCAAATCCCCAGCCCCAACGCTTCACATTTTGAAACCAACTGGCAAAGTTTTAGTCAGATTTTATGACCAAAACCCAACATACAACCTCATGCTGATTCATAACTTCAGAGATGCATCTTGCTTTGAACAAAGCTCAATCCTACACTTTACTTCCCTAGTTTTTTTTTTTTTAAACATGGCCTCGCTATAGCCCAGGCTGGCCTTGGACTCTCCATCTTCGTGCCTCAGCCTCCCAAGTGAAGCCTGGTGCTGAGGCTACCAGGTCCTGCTTCCTGCCTTAGTTCTGAATGCTTCCATAAAATAACTACAATTGAAAAACAAACACTGATGACAATAATGGTGGCTTGGACTTCAGTTCCAAAAGGAATTCGGAAATCATTTTGAGGAATGGAAATATCCTACTGTACCTTCCGAGGTAACTGTACTGAATGAGATGACACTTGGAAAATTGTGACAGGTCTGTTAAAAATGTAACTTCAAAATTTTATGTTAATCTTTTAAAAATGGCCTAGCTTACCTATATGCTGAATATTTACTAGAGTGCAAGATGAAGCAGTAATTTGTGGAAATCTCTACCTCAAAATTTTTCTCAATTATAGAATCAACCTTACCAGTTAATATTGAGAACGTTATCAAGAACATTGCCAAGTATGTTTGCAGCGAAGGCAGTACGACAGAAAGACCTGGCAAATGTTTAAATTTAAAAGCTTACTACAGTAAAAACACATGGCCTTTCATCTCCTTCAAACTACTGCCCCTTGTTTCTTTTTGAGACAGTGTCTTGCTATGCAGTTCAGGCTGGGCTTGAACTCACTTTGTAACCAGGCTAGCCTTGAACTTGCAGCGATCCTCCTCCCTCAGCCTCCCAGTACTGATTACAGGGCATGCCACCACGCCCAGCTCCCCCTTGCTTTGAGCACACCCCATCCTCCACCTGTATCTGGCCTTGTGTGACTGGTTCTTTCCCAAAGTCAAAATAACCATGAAAGGTCAGCATTTTGAATCTATTTGGAATATCGGGGCAGCTACGACAGTGCAATTAAAGACCTCCGGGAAAGAGAACTCCAGAGCTGCTGCAGACAGTGGCAAGATCGGTGGGATGAATGTGTTTAGAGCGAAGGAGAGGATTCTGAGAGAGTTTAATGAATGGCAATGCGTCTTTTTTTTTGTCTTTTTGAGACAGGGTCTTGCTATGCCATTCAGGCTGGCCTTGAGCTCACTTTGTAGCCCAGGTTAGTCTCACACTTGCAATGATCCTCCTGCCTCAGCCTCTAGGAGTGCTGGGATTACAGGTGGGCGTGCACCACCACGCCCAGCCTGGCAATGAGTCTTTTACTGTGAGAAAAAAGGGTTTTAATATTCATTGTATTTTTGGTCAAACTTGGTATGTGCATGAGATATTACACAGTTCACTTGGCCGTATCCTAAAACTTGTGAGGAAGGAGTTTACCAATATTTTCTCAAATATGATACAAAAGCTGTTTCAGGTCGGTCTTCCTACTGTCAAGGCAACTACAGCTGTAACATAAAGTTGAAGCTCCTCTATGGTATTAGGGGAATTGCAAATCTAGGTCCCAGTCCATATAGTGAAGAAAGGGTTTCTTCCCACACCTCTCATGAAGGACTTTACTCATTTTTTTGTTTTTGTTTCTGTCTTTTTGAGGCAGGGTCTCGCTATGCAGTTCAGGCTGTCCTTGAGCTCACTTTGTAGACCAGGCTGATCTCAAACTCCCAACGATCCTCCTGCCTCAGCCTCCCGAGTGCTGGGATTACAGGGGTGTGCTACCATGCTTGGCAGGACTTTACTCGTTATACAGAAAATGGGCGGCACTAACTGAACAACAGCACAGGGTGGTGCGACAGCATGTAGTTAAGAGCATGCGTTTGAGGCCCAGGTCTCACGCTCCGGAGGTAAAGAGCACAAACTGTGGCAAACATGACATTCAGGCTTTGAAGCTACCATCTCGTCCTAGGTACTTTACATGCTAATTTTTGATCCAAACAAAACATGTAAGAAAGGATAACATCTCTGATATGTGATATTCAAACCATCTGATGGGAAAGAAGGAAAGCAGAAAGATTTCAAAGAAAAAAGGAAAGATTTCAACAGAAGAAAGTAACTTATTAAAAGTACCCCACCACCCATTTATTCAGACACTGACTCTGCTCCAGAGCATGTGGGAACGGCAGACACGGACGCACAGCTGAGCACAGGGCCAGGTGCAGGAGAGGTGTGCTGACAAGCAGTGCCGCCACAGGAGTGGCCTTGGGCCTGAGAAGGCACCGTCTTACCTACCAGGGTGGGAGCAAAGAAGCCCCTGCGTGAGGGCCGGCTGACAGTGAGGGAAGAAAGTGGAGCTGGCACAGGAGCGGCGGGGAGGGCCGCAGACAGAGGGCAGGTGGTGCCCAGGCTAGGGCAGCACACAGGCTGCCCCAGGACAGGCTGTGTGCAGGGCCACAGAGAAGGGCTGGAAGAGCAAGGGCAGGATGGGGGCAGCGGGGCCGGCAGTCTGACAGGACAGGAGCAGAAAAGCACAGATCAGATACAGGAAAGTAGTAGGACCTACCTGGGAAATGTGGTAAGCACAGAGAGCCTGTGCTTCTGCGACCAACAAGCTCAGAAGAATTCTGACCATACTAATCACTAGTTCCCCAAATGGCTTCATTTTCCCGAGCTTTAGCTTCCCTCTAAGTAAGACGCGGACAGCACCACATAATCCAACTGTGGGTGTTCATCAGACAGTGTCTGATCTGCTCTGGGTTGGACACAGCCAAAAACGGGACACAGAACCTAACAGCTACCCTGTGGGGCACAGAGGGGCGCCCAAAGCTCTGCTGTGTCCTCCCTTTATGTACACGCGAGATCGGCAAGTAGGAAGGTTCCAGCCCCAAGACTGTGCCATACAGAGGGGCAGAGGGGATCCTGCAGATGTGACGGGTACCCAGGGAGCAGAGTCTAAGTTAAGTGAAGAGGGTATCATCCTGACAAGGTCTGACTTTATCAGGCAGGTTGCTACAAGAGACAAACCTAAGTTCCCGCAATATGTCAGACTGACTCTCAAGTTTACACGAAAAGGTGAAGGCCCAGGACAGCTGACCAGGTATGGAAGCACAACCACCCTGAAGACGGACACCCGCTGACTTCAGAGCTTGCTGCAGAGCTGCAGTCACCAAGCTGGTGCGTGCGGGTGAAGAACAGACACATGGCTGGAGCAGCAGAGTGCCCAGGGACAGACATGCACAGATACAGTGCGCTGTGTTCAAAGGGGCACAGGCAGCGCAGTGGAGAAGAGATACAGGGTATGTCTTCAACAAATAGTGCCGGACAGATGGACGCACACGATTGTCTTACCTACCCACCACTCAAAAAAAAGTGCGAGGGCAGAAGAAAAGAATCTGGATACAGACTTTGTATCCTTTACAAAAATGAACTCAAACTGGATCACAAACTTAAATGTAAAATGCAAAACTAAAACTCCTGGAAGAAAATTCAGATGATCTTGGGTTTGGTGATGACTTTTTTTTGGGCGGGGGCAGGCCCAGACTAGCTTTAAACTCACAGCAATCCTCCTGCCTCAGCCTTCTGAATGCTGGGATTACAAGTGTGTGCCACCATGCCTGCCTTGGTAATACTTTTTTTTTTACATACAACACCAAAGGTATGAGCCCTGACAGAAAGGATTGATCAGATGGACATCATTAAAATTAAAAACTTCTGCTCTGGGAAAGACGTGGTTAAGACAATGAAAAGAACATTTGCAGACTGGAAGAAAATATTTGCAGAAGACAATCTGATAAAGGACTGTTATCCAAAATATACAAAGAGCTCTTAAAACTCAACAGTAAGACAAACACAAAGACCGAAGAGACCCCCGCACCAAGAGATGTGTTGAACAGACAGGAGAAGACATTCCGTATCCACGTCTCCAGCAAAATGCAAACTGAAACAACACCAATGCCTCTCACACCC